GCATTATTGAAACACATATCTAAAGGGAGAAAAAAAAGAGCATTATAAGGAGCCAAAAGTGATAAAATTTTTAGAGATAATCTGGCTCTAAAAGTATATTCAATTACTTTCCATTTCTATGTTCCCTTCTGAGGAAAGCATCTGTAAAAGAAGTCTGCCTTCTGTGCAGGAGTCAAAGGGAGAGACATGGCAAGCCAGCGACAGCAGGCTGTGAGCACCATGGGAGCATGAACCATGTGTCCAGGCACTGTGGCACATCTTCCCTGCTGCCCTGGGCACATGCTGCCCCATCCATGAGTGTTCTGGTTTGTTCTTGAGCTGTAATTGTTTAATGTTAGATTTTTCTAGGTTCTGTAATAATTCCTTCTATGTATCCCTGTTCAGTTTCCCTAATGGTACTTCCCTAAAGTTGTTTATTCCAATTTTCCCACCTTTCCCTGTGTCATTCCCTGTCCATCACCCTTGCACCTCCCATGTTTCCAGACCCTTCCCTGTCAATCCTTCAAATCCTGCCCCTGCAGCTTGTCACTCATAATTTGCTACACCCCTCTTACCAGAATGTTCTGTGTCAGTTATGTTATCCCTTCATATTGATTTGCAGATTACGCATTCACTCACCCCTTCTCTTCCCTATTGTTTTTTTGTTAATGTGAACCACCCCCCCGTCATGCTCCTCCTTGTTAGCTATCATTGGTTTGTAGGCAGTCTCCTCCCCAGAGATTGCCCACCCCACCCCTTTATAAACTGCTGTAATCCCTTTGTCTTGGCTTTTCCGTATGTTTTCTATGCAAGTTTTCATTGGTACACCTTTGGGCTTCTCCCTGGGTGGCGTGGGAGGAGCGGGGGAAATAAACGTCCTGGAGCTCTGCCACTAGAGAGTCCCCCCCTCTTCTTTTGCCACGCAGCCACCACGAGGAACCCACCTTTGGGTGTCCATCTTCGGCCAGGCCAAGTGGAAGGAGTGGTTCCAAGCCTGAGGCCAAAACGCTACCCTTGGCCCCAGTTTAGGAGCTTGAAGCAGGGAGTGGCCACATGTGACATTGCTTGGAGGAAAGGGACATTTAGCTGGTTACGTGCTCACCCCTTCTCCCAGGATCCAGGCACAGCATCACATGAGGATGAGAATACATACATAAGAGCTTCCCAAGAATTGCTGGCTCAGTACATAGTAGTGTGGCACAAAAAGCCAGTGAAGACACCAAGTTCCTAACACAAAACCAAAATGATCCTAAGGCAGGGACAGTGACTCTCCCAGGTCTGCTAAAGAATGAAGAAGAATTTGATTCAGTGTTATTCATTTTTATTCTAGTGAGAGAACAGCAGGACAGATTTTTATGGTAGGTTGACATTATCAACTCTGACCTTGATGGAATTATGTTGTATGCAATGCATTTAGTGACATGTTTTAAATGTCAGACACTGCTTTTGAGGAGAGAAGATTGTTTAGAGGCTACAGGCACCACTACTGTAAGGCTGGTAACACAAAGGTAAGAAAAACTATTTCCCAAAACTTTGCTGAACCTTTTTACAGGTTCTATTTAAAATCAAGCCACTTACTTTTCCAACAAAATTCCAGTATTTTTTTTCACTTTTTCAAGTACACATAGCTGAGACGGCTAATCAGTATTTTACAGTTCAGCATGATACTCAGATCTGGTTTTTAGTGGTCTCCTCCCCAACAAGTCAAATTACAACAGCCATATCTAGTTATTTTAATGCTCTCTAGTGTTGACTTGGATTATAGCATGTTATTTGTTCATCCTCTCCTGCTGTATTAGCAATGACTAAATCACAGCACTAGCAAAATATAATGAAAAAGCATTTGTTTGGATCATTAATGTTAGAGGTTACATTAATTTCTTTTTTAAAAATTTGCTCAGCATCTTGTGAGATTTAATTGTGGTCAGATCAAAAAAGATGAGAATTATTTAAAAAAAAAAGACCTTATTAGAAATTTATTTAAATATTGCATCCAGCATGTTAGATCCTTCTTCCCACAGCTCTTGGAGAGCTCCAGTGCAAAGCCATAATTTATGATCTGGCTGAAACTGATGATCTGATGAAGCTGGCTTGTACTTTCTTTCCATTTCTGGATCCTGTCTAAAGTGGGGAGAGATCCAACGACCTGATGCAGTTTACTTGGTGCAAAACAGTAACAAACTTTGTGGCCATGCTTACACTTCTGGCTAGGGTTCATCTAAATAGGGATGTAGAGCTTACAGCCAGCAGACCATATTTTGTCTGCAGTCAGGCTGCCTGCAGGTGGTAGGCTGTAAGGCAGGTGTATGCCCAGCATTATCTGATATAATGCTTCTAGTGAGAACATACCAATCCCTGCAAAATCCTTGCCTTGCTAAATTAAGCAAATCCTCCCATGTGAAATTAGTTATACCAGTGACAGCTGGTATATGAGGTATTCTACCAACAGAAGCTATGTTGAATAGAAATCTTCCTCCATCAATATTGCTGCAACATGCAGCTGGCATAACTGGAAACTTAGCAAGCTTCCTTATGCATGTTTAGTGCCTGACACATCCTTGTCTCCAAATATTATATAGCATAAACTGGTTCTATAGCTTGCTTCGTATCGAAAATTATGCGCCTTATATCCAGCATTATGGAAGAAAAATGAGGAAAAGACTGAAGAGCAGAAGGTATGGCTAAAACAGCATATGTTGTCAATGGTTTCACTTCTCTTGGTCAGATGTTTACTCCTTCCTCTTCCCCTGAAACAACCTGTTAATTTTCTTTCCCAGCTTGCAAGGTGCAGTAAACATTAAGGTATGGTTAGGTTTTCCTGTTAATTTAAGCATGTCAGTCTAAATTGCAGTACTTTCCTGGTTCAGTTTCTTCAAAATTTACCACATTCTGCTTTGCTGTGGAACAGAGTAGAAATTTAACAGGGTAGAAATCTATTTCAGATTTTAGTGAAATCTGCTCTTTTGAAGTCTGGTAACTCTGTTGTGCCCAAAGCTCCCTGTTCTTGCAAAAACCTTGTCCTACCTCAGTCAAGGAAAAGAATGCGAACTTCCAAGATAAGGAGAGCCCCTTGAACTTTGAAAGACAAGAGCGTAAAGCTGAGGCTGCTAGAAACAGACAAGATGACCACAGAGTTCTCTCTATACAAGAACTGATAAGGACTAATTGCAAGTTGTAATGCAAAACCAGCAAAATGAATATGCATGAACCTATTGTGAAACTCTATACATATGTACCAGTAAGGGGAATAAAAAAAAAGTTTATGAATTCTCAGGGGTGAGCATGTCTTTGAGGGGAACTATCCCCACATGAATCCAGGGCTAAAATAAACATACCAGCTTTACAACTTGTTACAAGTTGTAGAGTAAGTTTTTTTCCACAAATCATCGTCATGGCTATGCACAGCAGTTCATAGAATCATCAATTCATAGAGTGGCTTGGATTGGAAAGGACCTTACAGATCATCCGGTTCCAACCCCCTGCTGTGGGCAGATATTCCTTCCACTAGACCAGGTTGTTCAGAGCCCCACCCAACCTTGGCTTGAATAATTCCAAGGATGAAGCATCCAGAACTTCTCTGGGCAATTAGTTTCAGTTCCTCACAAACCTCTCAGTAAATTTCTTTCTAAATCTATTTTAAATCTACTCTCCTTCAGTTTAAAGCCATTACCCCATAACCTATCCCTGAAGGTCATGATATGTCTTCCTTTCTTTCTTAGCAACTTCCTTCAGGTATTGAAAGAGTGAAGTAAGGTCACCCTGGAGTCCTCTCCAGGCTGAACAACCCCAGCTCTCTTAGCCTATCCTCAAAGGAGAGGTGTTCCATTCCTCTGATCATCTTCATAGTCTTCCTCTGAACATGGGCTAAAAAGCAGATCCCCAGTCTGTAACTCCAGGAAGCACAGAGGTAATTCTTTTCAGCCAGCAAAGAGCAGATGTCCATGGTTTCAAGATGGATTTGGATTTTGCTGAAAAACAAGACCATCCCTAATGCAACATTAAACAAAATGAGAATGTAACTTGAGTATCTCCATTTGTGAGGCCTTAGGCTTGCAGACTACATATATGTATCATTCTCATTCATGTACTTAAAAATGGCAAAACCTTGAGAACAAAAATCTGTCTTAAATGTATTAAGGAACAGACACAAACCAACAAGAGATCATGGCTAGAAAGTCTCTCACTGTCACACCGTATGCAGAAAGATTATGTCTCCTGTCACTTGTGCTGGACTGACAAAAGCTCTTTTCCACTGCTGTACTTCTTGGCAGATGTATGTGGCAAATCCTAAAAACAAATTCCTACTTATATTGATTTCCATTTTCATGCACACTCCTATTACCTACATGCTTGTTTCTAAAATTGAATTGCTGTTATTTTTGCTTTACTGTTCTTTGTAGCAAAAGATTGCTCCAAAGAATGAAGTTAGCTATTGGTTAGCTACATACAACAGTCATTTCAGTAGATATGGTCATGGTGTAAAATGTGAAAAATGTCCATGCTAGCCAGGATAAAGGATATTTTCAAGTCCTAAATATATGCATGATGACCAACCATGTACAAGAAAGCACTGCATTTGGAAACTGCGTAACAAGATGGTGAATGGAGCTTTTCCAATGTATTTTCTTGGAGAGCCATTGACTTATTGTGAAAGAAAATCTCACAAATTCTTGTGAAATTAATTCTCAAGAATTCCTAACTAAAATGCCTAGTATACACTAATGGTAGGAAAACTAAAAACAAGCTAGCTCCAGCTGCTGGAAATTAACTCCCATTTTACAGATTGCACTAAGCAATAGCTGGGTTTTGGTTCCTCACATTCTGAAAACCATACAGACTGTTTTGAAGTGGAATATGTAAAAATATAAAATTAACAATTTCAGTGTCCAGAGACACTGAAATAATGCTAAGAAAGTAAGTTAATAGATAATTCTAGAAATAATGGAATATAGAAGGGGACAAAAAAAAAGCCTGGAAAGGTATTTTAACTTTTTTGAGGAACAACTGGATGGATGGAGTGATTCCATATACAATAATTTATTCAACCTGATAGGTACAGTTCAAAATACTAAACTGGAATTTCTACAATAAACTGAACAATGCAAAGGATTTATCTGAAAAAAGGTTTATTCAGAAAACACTCAACAGCTATTATTAAGAAATTATTTTCCCCCTACATTAACTTATTTACATATACTATACATCTTTATATATATATATATCTATGCATACACACATACAGAGTTTTAACTTGAATTGTGTATTGCTATATTGGATTCATAAAGTTATATATCATACAACAACTTGGTTTAAGACAGAACAGTCTTCTTTTTGTCTGTGTAAAAATTAAGCAATTATAAGACAAGTTATCTCAATGCATTGCTAGCAATTTCCTGTAGACACTGTTATTCACATTAGTTGTCAACGTAGCCCTTCTGGTACTAGTGGTAGACATCAACTGGCCACTGCTGTTACTACTGTTGGGATCAAAAGTCTTTTCACAATTGAAGAGACTGAAAAGTTGTCGCTGATACTGAGAAGAAGCATAGTAGTAAATAAAGGGGTCAATGCAGCAGCTAATGCTGCTGATAGAAACACAGAGTAGATAGGCAAAGTAAAGATACTCTAAGCTGTTGTCATATGAAAAATGGATATAATGAATTAAAAGGAGAACATTTGTTGGTCCAAAGCAAATAACGAAAACAGAAAAGACAGTCACACACAAAAGCAAGGCACGTGTCTTCTTGTTTTGCTTTGCAACAATGGTGGAAGAACTAAGACAACGAATGATACTCACATAACAGACAGTAGAAATTATAAATGGTACTATGAAAAACACAGAAGAGAAGACAGAGAAGAAGTGGAGGTAATAGCCGTGAAGTTCAGATTCTCTCAGCACATCATGGCACGTAGTTATATTTAACCTGGGTATTTCCATTGTTTGCTCTCGTAGGAGAAAAGGTATAACCCCAGCTATTGCTACAAGCCATATGATGAAACAAACCAGAGAGGCACGAGTTAGTGTACGCCACCCCAGTGACTGCATGGGGTACACCACTGCTAAGAAGCGATCGAAGCTTATGCTTGTCATAAGCATTATTGAGCAGTACATGTTGCAGAAGAAGGCAGCAGTGATGAAACGGCACATTAGAGGCCCAAAAACCCAGTCATTTCCTGAAAAGTGATAAACAATCTTAAATGGAAGCACACTTACAAAGAGAACATCTGCAAGGGCCAAATTCAACATGTATATTACAGCTGGCTTTTCAATTTTCATCTTTTTAAGAAACACGAGTATCGCTGTAATGTTCAGAGGGAGACTCAGCACAAGCACTAGGGTGTAAACTGAAGGAACAAAACGAGTCAGCCACGGACTAGTGAGGTATCTTGCTGTTTGAACTGATATCATTCCTTGTTCATGTAGGAACGATGCAGACTGATTGGCGGCTCCTGATCCAACTTCCAAGTCATTTTCAGTATCACCATCAACAGGAATAAGATCAGCCTCCAGACTGGAAGAACTACGAAAGGCAAAACTTCTGATGTGTGGTATGTTGGTGTTATTTGGAAAGCCTGAAAAGTAAGGAAGTATTAAGGTTAATAAGCCAATATTTAGATGGTATGGGGAAGTAAAAACATCTTTCAAGAAGGGAAGTTAAGATTACATTAGACAAACAAAATAATAAGGTTAATTTCTGATTCAAAGCACAGGTTGCCCACAGGTCAGCCATTTTATTTTAGCTCTTCCTGCTACAAATTTGAGTATGTCCTCCTATGTCTCCTATCTCTTAGCTTCAAAGTGTGGGAGGATGGATTGTAGGAGAATAGAGATAGTGAAGGCAATCTCACCCCTGAGGAGTTGCCCTGTACTAATTACCAAAGAGTAGGAACAGGCCTGCCCTTAACAGGGCACAGCTGTGTCCAATAAGGATGGGTGTTATAAAAGAGTGGATTAGCTGGTTGAGAGAGGGTTGGAGTCAGCTGCCTGTGGTGCTGTGAGGAGCAAGGGTCAGGCAGTCATGTTAGGGACAGTCAGGGTCAGTATGTGCTGCCAGGGACAGAAAGGGTCAGGTGTTGATGTTAGGGACAGTAGGGGTTAGTGTGTGCTGCCAGGGACAGAAAGGATCAGGTGTTCATGTTAGAGACAGTAAGGGTCAGTATGTGCTGCCAGGGACAGAAAGGGTCAGGTGTTCATGTTAGGGACAGTAGGGGTTAGTGTGTGCTGCCAGGGACAGAAAGGGTCAGGTGTT